TAATTTATTTGCAGGGAGAGCCCCCTAATGAGTTGAGTAATTACATTATAGTGCCCAACTAAACCTAGCGGGCCCCACCATCTCTTTTTATTCTTAATCATGAGTGGCTCGACATTTTACGAAATTCCCCCGATATTTATTCATTTTTACAATGGGCTACCCTACCCTTTTTCCAAAAGGATCATTCCCTAATTTCCTTTTTATCTTTTATTTTACCACTTTTTATTTTTATTATTTTTATTTTTCCATGTAGTCGGCTCCGGCTGGCTCCGGCTGGCTGGCTCGGCTGCGTCGGCCTTCAATTATGAGATTAATTAAAGAGTTAAGGCCAGATGGTTATGAGCTGTAATGTCATTGGCCATGTAAGAGTGCAATAAAATTAATGTTTAATTAGTGAATGATTATCTTTAATCATAGAGATTCGTGAGCATTAGCTGTGTATGGAATTGTAGATGAGGGTCTCACGTGACATTTATCATTTTAATTCAATATAACCCATTCACACTAATTATTAATCTAAACAATTTTTTTTTTTAATTTTTAATTTTAAATATATTTCCTTTGATGTTTCGGTCTTTCCCACATGTGATCGCCACATCAAGGGCGAATCCCCGATTGTCGTCGGAAAATCTTTGCAATGCAAGGTGATGAGAGAGAAGGGCAACGTAACTCGTTAATTTTAAATTAATCTATAAAACTATGTATTAGATGTAACCTACGTAATTGTAATTAGAAGTGTACATGGTTTGAGTTGAGTTGAACTTAAGTTTTTTTTTGGATTGGTTAGGTCAGGTTGGAGAAGGCAGCCCAAGTCGATTGAACTTTATAATTCTGGGTGTGTTAGTTAAGTCAGTTTGGGTACCATCATCAAACGACATGCATGTTCAAATGACGATGAACACAAATACGAGAGATCTTATAAGAATGTTCGGTGAATGAGAGATCTTTTGGGAATGACAAATGGTGAATATTGTGAGACTGATGCAATACATAGCGAACAAAAGTGGACAATATCTACTAGCAGTGGGCTTAGACGATTACATATTAGACGCATTTTAAAATTGTGAGACTGATGCGATACATAACGAACAAAAGTGGACAATACCTACTAGCAGTGGGATTAGACGATTACAAATGGTATCAGAGCTAGACAACAAACAGTTTGCTAGCGAGGAAGTTGGACCCCTAAAGGGGTGGATTGTGAGATCCTACATCGATTGGAGAGTGGAATCTCTCCCTAGTTAAAAACGCGGTACGTTACGAGCAAAAACGAACAATATTTACTAGCGATGATTGGCGATATGTAACGAGGTAAAACGAACAATATCTACTAGTGGTGAGCAACGATACATAGAGGATCAAAGCGAATAATATCTATTAACGATGAATTTAAGCTGGAAATTAAAAATACACGAAAATAAAAAGCTAAAGGGTAAAAGGGAGAAAGTGTTTTGGTTGCAAAAAGGGGGTGAAATATGTGATGATGAGATGAAGTGAGCCCCTTCCACAAATAATTGCCCATTGAAAAATTTAGTGAATTATTTTTTATTTATAATTTATTTGACCTAAAAAAAAAAAAAGAAACAATTTTCTTTCTATTTATTTATTTATTTATTTTTGTTTTTTTCCCTTTAAAAAACAAACAAACAACAATTCATTAAATTATATTATAATAAATCGACTAAACTGAGATTCAACAACTGAAGGGCAGTCCCCGGGCAATCCGCTGCCCAGATTTACAGTCATCAAAACAGGAAAAGAAAGAGGCAACGTGGCAGAATTGTATTGGAGGTTGAACAGACGCGCGAAAACGCAAGTGGTGGAGGTTGGAGAAAGAAATGGAGTTTATTAGAGGCATTGTATTACTCTGTTTCTTCTGCTTTTTCTATAATACGCAATTACTCGGCTTTCTCACTTTGGCTCTTCCCACTTCCCAATCGCTACAAAACATCCCATTTTCGTTATTAGCTTCACTGAGTCAACTCGGTCCTCCTCTGTTTCTTCTTTAACTTCATATACGATTCTCCGCTTTACTTTCAGTTTCCTCTTTTAATTTTCAAGTTCTTGCAGATCTTTGTTTTCCTCGTCCTGTTCTTATTCATTTTTGGTTTGAATTACTCGGCGTTGTTTGTTTCTGGGAAATTTTGGGTATCTCGTTTCTAAGTACATTTTCGAATTTGATTTTCCTTATGGGGGGTTTCAGATAATCAATCTGTTGAGTGTTTTTTGAGGGGAAAAATGAGTTCGAAGAGGAAGAAGAAGGGGGGGTCAGGGGACTCGGACGAGTCGACTCGGGCTGGTTCCATTTTCCCAGATGAGGTATTGGAAAGGGTTCTGAGTTTGGTTAAGTCTCGAAAAGATAGAAGCTCTGTTTCCCTGGTTTGTAAAGATTGGTTCAACGCCGAGCGGTGGTCTCGAACCCACGTTTTCATCGGGAACTGTTACTCTGTTTCACCGGAAATTGTAATCCGACGGTTCCCGAACATTCGGAGTGTGTCGTTGAAGGGGAAACCCAGGTTTTCGGATTTCAATTTGGTGCCTCCGAATTGGGGAGCTGATATTCATTCATGGCTTGTCGGCTTCGCTTCAAAATACCCAAATCTCGAAGAGTTGAGGCTCAAAAGAATGACTGTAACTGACGAGAGCTTGGAGTTTTTGGGTCGTTCGTTCCCTAATTTCAAAGCTCTTTCAATGATGAGCTGCGATGGGTTCAGCACCGATGGGCTTGCGGCCATTGCCACTCACTGCAAGTACGTCATTTCTTCTTCTGTTGTTTTGAAAACTGTGAGTCATTAAGATGAGATCTGGGTTGTTTGGGAAATGCCTTTTGGAAGAATATTGATTTCTTTTTGTTTTTGATGCCCTCTCAGCAAATGGTTATGAAATTAAAGCAATGTTTGGTTTGGTCACTGGTTCGTTTGTTTCAGTTAGTTTTATATGGGGTTGCTGATGGACACCACTCACACAGTATCGACTCGGAATCATATTCTAAAGTTTTGAACTCATAATAAATACAATTGTACTGCGTATGATTCTGTTATTGGTACCTATTATAATAGCATCTCTTGCTCCTGATTGAACTCTGATGAGAGAAATTTTCAAACTTTTTTCTCCGTCTTTGGCACATCACATCTTTACTGAGATCACACATCTGTAGAAGAGGGGAATGAAAACATTAATAAGAATAGTGTAAAAACCTATCTTGAGGAGAAGTCTGAGAGAAAAAATTCAAGGAGAACAATATCTACTAGTGGTGAGTTTGAATGGTTACGAATGGTATCAAAGTCAGTTATTGACGTTGCGACACACTAGTCGGAATAGGGCTAGATTCTCTCTATAATAAGACACCTCCTAAACTAACATATAGGAACCCAAAGAGAAAAATATGATTTCTATGCCAGAGATTACAAGACAAACATTTTGTTTGTTGGGTGGATGGTGTGTTCTTGCGAGAAAGCAAAACTCTGACGTGTAATTTGGTGTCAGGAACTTGACGGAGCTGGACATACTTGAGAATGACATCAATGACAAGAGTGGAAATTGGTTGAGTTGCTTCCCAGATACCTTGAAATCTCTGCAAGTACTCAACTTTGCAAGTTTGAACAGCGACGTCAGTTTTGAGTCCCTTGAGAAGCTGGTAAAAAGGTGCAAATCATTGAAGGTTTTGAAGGTCAATAGGAATATAAACTTAGAACAATTACAGAGGCTGCTTGTTAATGCTCCTCAGTTAACAGAGTTAGGCACCGGCTCTTTCTCTCAAGACCTCACTCTCCGGCAGTACTACGACCTCGAAGATGCCTTTAAAAGTTGCAACAATCTTCATACTCTCTCGGGCTTATTGGAGTCCACAGTGTTGTATCTCCAAGTTCTTTTTCCTGCCTCTGCCAACTTAACTTTCTTGAATCTCAGCTACGCCATTCTGCACAGTGGTGAACTTGCTGGTCTTCTTTCCCACTGCCCCGTCCTCCGCCGCCTTTGGGTATGCCTCATTTTTCTCTCCTTCTATGACCGTTGATTTTTGTTTTGGTTGAGCCTGGTGAGGATTGTCGGGAGGGAGTTCTACATTGGCTAAGCTCAAAATAAAACCACAAGAGCTTATGCTTAAAGTGGACAATATCGTACCATTGTGGAGATTCGTGCTTCCTAACAAAGCCCTCTAACAAAGCCCTCTTATTAGTGCAGGTTTTAGACACAGTTGAAGACAAGGGCCTGAAGGCTGTTGGACTCAGCTGCCCCTTGCTAGAGGAACTGCGTGTATTTCCAGCAGATCCGTATGCTGACAATTTAGTTCATGGGGTAACAGAGTCTGGGTTTCTTGCTGTCTCTTATGGCTGCCCTAAACTCCATTACGTTCTCTACTTTTGTCATCAGATGACAAACGAGGCTGTAGCCACCATTGTGCAGAACTGCCCAGATTTCACCCATTTTCGTCTCTGTATTATGAACCCCCACCAACCTGACTATCTTACAAAGCAACCAATGGACGAGGCCTTTGGTGCCGTGGTGAAAACATGCTCTAAGCTACGTAGACTAGCCATTTCGGGTTTGCTAACAGACATAACATTTGAATACATAGGGAAATATGCAAAAAACTTGGAAACTCTTTCAGTGGCTTTTGCTGGAAGCAGCGACTGGGGAATGCAGTGTGTTATGAGTGGTTGTCCAAAGCTGAGAAAACTGGAAATCAGAGACAGTCCATTTGGAAATGCTGCTTTGCTTTCTGGTTTGGAAAGGTATGAATCCATGAGATCTCTATGGATGTCGGCCTGTAAGGTGACGATGAATGGGTGTCGAATTTTGGCGAAGCAGGTGCCGAGGTTGAACGTTGAGGTTATTAAGGATGGTGGGAGTGATGAATGTGAGGCTGAAAGTGTTTATGTATACCGCTCCGTTGCAGGTCCGAGAAGGGACGCCCCGTCTTTCGTTCTCACCCTCTAAATCCTTGTAAGTATTAAGAATCATTTGGCTTTACAAAAAAATGAAGTTCAAACTCCGCATCAGATTAACTTGATTGTTGTTCTTGGGGAATTAATATGTTCTAATCTCATAAATCACATCCAATGATGGTGTGACAGTTGAAATTACTTGTTGCCGTCCTTCACCCATCTCTAGGCCTCCAATTTGGTGATGATTATGAGTCACAAATCTTGACCAATACCAATGGCTCTTCCACACTTTGGGCATTTCTTCAATTGGGATGCCTTTGGTTTCAGGGAGGAAGAAGTAGATGAAAAGGGTCATCACACAAACCCATAACCCAAAGAAAATGAAGACTCCAAACTTCATGTGGCACAGCATCGTCAAGAAAACTTGCGCATTTGCAAATGTGAAGAACATGTTTGCAGATACATTCACACTTTGAGCCGCTGATCGTATTTCCAATGGCAAGATCTCACTGGGAACAAGCCAACCCAGAGGCCCCCAAGACCAAGCGAAACCTGCAACATAATTGCCTATGAAAAGCACAACTACAATTGCGTACCACTTTGGCAACTGTTCTACCATGCCATTCACTCCAAATTTTGCTCCAATCGCCCCTGCTATAATCGTCTACGGGAATACAACAACCAAAACATACCAGGATTAAGAAGGAAGAACAAGAGTTTCTAATAAGTCTTTCAACTTTTAAAAGTACCTGACAAATCAACATTTGAATGCCTCCCTCGAAAAAAAGGTACCTCCGTCCCCACTTATCGATGCCGTAAATCGAAACAACAGTGGCAAGCACATTCCAGGTGCCAGTGATTAGGGCGGACATCATAGAAGCATCCGATTCAAAGCCGATAGAGTTGAAAAGGAGGGGACTGTAGAAAAGGATGACATTGATGCCGGTGAGTTGCTGGAAGAAAGGAATTAGTAGGGCCATAGAGAGGTGGGGTCTGTATTTCCTGTGCAGCAAGTTTCTCCATTGATGTTTGACTCGTTTTGAGGTTTCACTGGCTGCAACTAAATCCTGAAACTCTTCTTCCACATCTTCAACACCACGAACTCTTCTGAGTCTGTTCTTGGCTTCCTCATGGGGATGCTGTCCTCTTTCAATCATTGAATTGGGGGTGTCCGGAAGGAGGACTGAGCCAATGATGATAATCAGAGCTGGGACTATGGCTCCCCCTAAACTCAATCGCCATCCCCACCCACCCTTAATCTTGGCAGAGAAATAGTTAACAACATTGGCTATAAGGATGCCGATTGTGATGAATAATTGGAAGAAGAAGTTCAAACCGCCTCTGTTTCTATAGGGAGCCATTTCAGAAAGATAGAGTGGCAAAGACTGTAGTTGTGTACAACAATCCAACCAAAAACTATGCAATAAGTTAAGGTTGCATAGCATTTATAAATTTATTGAACGCATAAAATTAGAAAATTTACCTGATTTGTAAATCCGATACCAAAGCCAAGTAAAAGGCGGCCGAGAATGAGCATCCAAAAGGCTGTGGCGAAGCTATTAACGATCGCGCCGACACAGAACAACACGCCGCCTAAGAGCATGGAAGATCTCCGGCCAAACTTACGCGTCACAGTTGACGCGACGAGCGAGGCGACCAGCGCCGCTAAGTAGAGCGAGGACGTGAACATCGTCAAACTAGCACTGTCGTATTGGCAGTACTGGTTTTTGGTTGAAATCCGATTCTTTGTCTCGTAAACATCCTTAAAGAACTTCTCCAGAAAAGAGTCCATGGATGTCACCCCGCCTAAAATAATAACAATAATGTATCAATTCAATCATACTATAAGCTGCTTCTGAGTTTTAACAATTAAAGAAATGAAAGTAGTACCTGAAATTCCGATATCATAACCAAAAGCGAGACCACCCATGGCAGCGACGATGCATGTTACGGAGACAAAGGGAGTAAGTTTTCCGGGATACTCCTTTATAACCTCACCGGAGAGGATTCCTCCAGCTGCAGACATTTTAATGCTAAGTATACGATTGAAGTACCCAATTTTATAATTATAGTGGGAAAAGAAAACTCTCTCTAAAGCGACCGCAAGACCTACGAGTCAACGATAATACCGATCTTGTTTTGTAATTTGAAATTCCTGTCTTCATTAATAAACAATTATTAATTGTTCAAAGTCAAGCACTTTGACAATGTCAAGAGAAGTTCGCCCACATATTTGAATACCAAATTCTAATAATATTTTTGTATAATATTATATTAGATGATTACCACGTTTTTCCATGGGGGAAATCATTTTTTTCTTTAATATTCATAATCAAAATTTGAGTATATTAAGAAGTAGTTTTTCTAATGGTTTGTTCTTGTTTATGAATCTTTTACAAGCGAGAAAGAAAGAAAGAAAGAAAGAAAGAAATGACATTATCTTTATCTACATATAAAAGAGCAATTTCCCAGTGGGTGTCTCAAATTACACGACTTGACCTCGGGGGGGTTGGGTTTCTTTCAATGGAAATAAAATAACCTCACTTTCACCTAAACAATATTTTGGATAATATACCAAAAAGATTACAACACGACTATTTAAGGCTAGAATTCATTTGGAAATCCCTTTCAAATTACAGAAGCATACCCGGAAAACTGAAACCAAATCTATACAGAGTCTACGCCTTCAACTTGTTGTTTCGCAAGATATCTTTCCCTCCTTTCTTTCTGAACAAACACAAAATGGAAGTGAACATGAAGAGTGAAATTCGTTTGATTCAAAATATTAGAAGATTTGCATACCAAAACTAAGGATAAACTCACCCATTCATCTATCACCAGCCCTTCTCCAATTATTTTTGGACCTGTTTCTTCTGCTGGTTTCTTGCGCGCCTCAAGTGCAGCATCGGCCTCCGCTAATTGGCGCTTCAATTTTTCTAAAGCCTACACAGAAACAGAAATGAAACGGGTTACTACTCAAAATTATTATATACTTCTTTTCTGATTTATTATCATTCAATAAACCAACTTACAGCATTAGGACGCTCTGGATCCAGGAAAACAACCCGCAATATCTGTTCTATTGACACTTGGTCCTTCTGCTCATCAAACTAGATCAAGATAGAAAAAGAAGAATGTTTGATCAGTATTCATTTTGCTTGCTCTCCCTAGTCCGGCATGAAAAGGCATAGATTCTGGATGTTAGGAAAGTTAAAAGGCATTCTAAAACAAGCAACGTGTGAACAAAGTGATATTCATAAGTTTGAAGTTACGTTTTAAGAATAGTTACGAGTAAGACCTCTGTTCTTTTTTTCTTTTAATGAGATTAGGTAAGTGAAATATACAGGGGTGAGGGAGCCAAAACTGGGGTTACAAGCAGGCCCACCAGTTTATCATAAGGTCACTTCAACTAGTCTGTAAAAGGAGGGAAGAAGCATTACACCATTCAAAATAAGACCAAATTTTTTTAATTACATGTCCTAACCAGAAAATGAATATTGACAAAACTCTATTAAAAACAAAACCAAATCATGAAATATGATGGCCAGCGACTGATATGTGATGCATATACCGCTAAGGAGACTATTCACCAAAACTTTACTTCTCATCAAATGTTCAACCTAAATTTGTGAAGAATCTTGTGCGGAACCAATAGTCCTTTCATTGTGGCGATTATTAATTTAAAACGGCATACAGACCTCGCTCACCAATGAACAACATATAGCCCTCTAATTTTGACAAGTGACAACTGAAACTCCTCTACATATTGACAATTCCGTTTCCTCTTACAGGACCATCAATAAGCTAAAGTGAAACAAGACACGACTGCATGTTTGTAGCACTAAGACCTTGATTAACTTGTTGAATAAAACTCCCAACAAAGCATAAATAATTGGAAAAAAGCAAGCTAAGGGAAGGGCGAGACTCACCAGTTCAGGCACATAATCCATTTGTCCCTTCACCTTCAAGCTCATAATTTTAAACTTAACCCTGTTGTTCTTTTGATCCACAGGTTTCTCGTTGTTTTCGGGAACCTCAACAAACTTGAAAACTAGGAGATCCATCCAACATTGACAGCAAATAAAAATTATAAATTAATAAGAAACGTCAAAATTCACCAATTTCAAGAACAACGATAAAGAGAAATAAGCAAATTAATGATCGCGGCTGCTATATCTGAACCTAGGAACAGACACAAAATGGATAAGACATCCAGGAAAATAGTTTACCAGTGGCTATGAGGCTCTCTCCGGGGGCAAGAATAGCACCAGGAGGACGCATGAAGCAACTTTTTGGTGCAGTGGTTTGGAACTATACGAACATTCAAACACAATGGATCAATAATCACAATAAGCCAAATTTTACAGACAGTATTAGGAAGGAAGAGAGCTATTTTTGGAAATCATAACTATTAACTACTACTAACACGCGAACACACTGCCCAGTGTCCAGTGATCAACAAGACTGTAAAACAAAATATCTGAATTCTCGAATATGGATACAAAAATGCAAAACTACAATGCCTAGAATAGGACGTTCATTCGCACCTTGAATGCAACATAAGATTTGCTTGTATTTTTTATTCCAATGGCACTCCTGACCTGCTTGCCAGGTTCATCTTCAAAAACAGAAAGATGAATCAATTAAACCTAAGATCGCCCCGAAATTCGAATCAATTCGAAAATTCAAACTTTCTAAATCCGAAATGCAGCTGATAGTTAAAAGTCAACACAGATCGAGATCATACCTATAATGAGCAGAACAAATCCAACTAAGAATAATCAAACAAAAATTCATAAAATGAAACCAAAAAAAAAATAAAAATAAAAAAATAAAACTCACAAGGAAAGAAAAGCTTATTCGACGGATCGAGCTTGAGCCGGCGCCGGGTGGGAAGCAGCGACCTAGCAACGGAGGAGACAGAGGCAGAGGTGTGAGGATTTGTCCTCTCCACAGGCGGATGAGTCTGATGAGAGGTACGATACGAAGTAGTAGCGCCACTGGCGGAATGCCGAAACGTTTGCTTCAAAAAACCCCAAACCTTTCCATCGGACGTTGACTTTTGATCATCAATAGCCATCATTGAAACCTCCGTGAGCTCAATCAGAGCATCGGACAGTAAACAAACTCGTCGTCGGCCTTCTAAAATTCACGCGGAGTACCAGCCACGGCAGTTTAAAGTAGCCGTTTAGAGGAGGAGGAGGAGGAGGAGTCACCTTTTAGCTTCGACGTAAGCGGAAGGCGAGCTGAAGAGAGAGCGAGAGGGGGGATGAGAGAGAATGAGAGATAAAAGCGGAAGTGAAAAGAATTAAATGGAAGTGAAGAAAATGAGTTGAGGTCCGGAAGGGGCGTTTTGGCATTTTATTGAATCTTGTTGTCCTTGGTACATGATTAGCGAGGGAAACTGATCCGATCCACGCGTCTAAAACGTTGTCTTCACTATGCAAGCATCCACTTTCTTTTCTTTTCTTTTTATTTTTTCTTTTCTTTTTTTATAATAAATAAAATCAATTCAAATATTATTCGTTCCTGATACGCCATTTCCCTCCTTTTCTTTTTGGTAATAAAGACAAAATTGGGTACCCCAAAAATTCAATGTGACCTTTATTTATTAGTTACATTTTTATCCCCAGAGCATATATTAGTTACAACTACTCTTAATCAATGTCTTATTATTATTTGATTACAACAAATGGGGTTAGAGGACCTAAACTCCCAACTTAAAAAAGTTATTATATACTCATTATTGTTGAATTATTTCGATGTGATAGAAATATTAATAAGTAATGTTAGGAATCACCGATCTCTAATGGTATGATATTGTCCACTTTGAGCATAAGCTTCATGGCTTTACTTTGTGCTTCCCCAGAAGATCTCATGCCAATTGAGAGAGTATTCCTTGATTATAAACCCATGATCATTCCCTAACTTAGCCGACGTGGACATTCTTCCAACACCTCCCCTCGAACAAACGTATGCCTCCCCTTAATCGAGGCTCAATTCCTTTTTCTTTTGGAATCTTGGTCATTTTTTACTATGCATTCGAGGAGCCTTAACTCCTTTTTCTTTTGGAGTCATTTATTCGACATTTGAGAATTCTATTGACATGACTCTGATACTATGTTAGGAATCACCGATCTCTAATGGTATGATATTGCCCATTTTGAGCATAAACTCTCGTGATTTTGCTTTGGGCTTTCCCAAAAGGCCTCATACCACTGTAGAGTCATGCTCATCTGAATATATCCTTTATCACATTCAAATATGAAATTATGAGATAAAAAATAAATTTCTTCTTTATTTGGATATTAAAAAAATGGTATAGTGTAAATTGAACCAATTATAGATACGGATGAAATTAATGTCAAAATGTTTTTTAAAAACGAAATATTGGATGGATATATCTAATTTAACCCTTTTTTAATTTAGTGGATGACTGCCTTACCATTTCTCGTTGACTTTGAGGGTTTGATCAATTCAAATTCTTATTCTTTTTCCTTCCATTCCACTTCCACTTATATTCTCCATTTTCCCCCTAAAATTCAATCCCTTCAATTATTTTTTTTTTTTTTTTTTTTTTTTTTTTTTTACTTTTTAAATATTTAAGTTGAATCCCGAGACAAATTAAAAATAAACATTTTTCTGAAACGTGTCTCGAATCATAAAAAATTAAAATTATATAATACGGGAGTAATTTTAGAAGTTGAGAGATTAAATTTATAATTGATTTATTTTAAAGAAAATAAAAATTAATTTTGGGTACGAAAAGATTTCATGTACACGGGAAGAGATACTTTTTATTTATTTATTTTTAAAAAAAAAAATATTACAAAACTACGGTACATAACACAAACAACGATTTAATTAAAATTTAAACACCAACGTTATATTTCTAAAAATCACAAGCTTTTGAATAATGAAGTGAAAATGTTAAAATAACAATTAAATTAATAAGTTAACAGGTAAATAAATAGAAATTCATGTGTCTGAGAAGTAAAGCTCGGATAGGAGGAGGGAAAGGAAAACCTCAGAAGAGAGGGTCGGAATCGTCCCATTGAAGAACGGCAGAGTCCAAATTCTGCTCTCTTTTCAGCTTATCCTTGAGAAACCAGTCGCATAATCTCCCCGCATTCAACTCTTCGATAGAACATTTCTCTTCCTCCGCTATCACTTTCAGTAAATTCAGAGACGAGATCTAAACCAACACAAAGAACAGGTTCAGTAATAATTGAAGAACGCAAAATATAGTGAAAGGCGAGATAGAGAAACAGAGGATATACGGTTAAACGGCACAGAAATCGTTCGTGCGTGCTGAGGCCGGATACTTCGACGAGGCCGGCCTCTTCGAGAGTCAAGAATGTTCGTCTTTGAGCGCCGTTGCCTGATTCGGCCTGTTCGGCGCGGATTCTAAAGGTCGTTTTGGTGCGGAATGGAGGGGGGAAATTGGACCGAAGTCTAGTAATTGGATTGAGTTTTTGATGAAGATTTGAAGAATTGGAGAGAAATGAGGATCCGTTGTGGTGAGGGGAGGGTTTGAGTGAGATCATTTCTGGTTAATTGTTACGGGAGATGATTGAAGGAAGACGACGGCGAGGCTTATCGGTTTTATTGGTAGGGCTCTTGCTTTTATGTGGTGGACATGGAGAAGGGGGATAAATGAGAAGGACGCATTTGTTAATTTTTGATTTTTCATTTAAATAATTAAAAATATATTTTAAATAAAAATGATATTATAATTATATTTTTTTAAAAAGGTTGTTTTAAATGATAAATTTGTTGTTAAAATATTAGCACAATCAAAATCCTCGTAATTATAATTATAATAGCATATTTATTTTAGAGAAAATGATCAAATTATTTTAAAAATAAATATACTAAATATTTTAAAAAATGATTTAAAGATATATGTAAAAAAATTAAATATTTATCTAGTAAATTGTTATCTCAATTAAAAATAGTAGTATAATATTAATAAAGAGTGTCCTCCACCCTACCTATACCTACCTATACCTAAGTGCATACGATTATTATATTTTTTTGTAGTGATTGATCTTAATAAAGAGTGCGAAAGTGTAGTAGTATTTTACTAATTGTGTTCTAATCTTTTATCGATTGATCTTAATAAAGAGTTAGTAGTATTCTACTGATTGTCTTACCGTGTCTCGTTGATTGATCTTAATAAAGAGTGCGAAAATATAGCAAAAATATAGTAATATTCTACCGATTATCTTATAATTGTCTTTAATGGAGGTTAATAAAGAGTGGGAGTATTTCTGTTGCAAACTTGAGTAGAATAAAGATATTAATCCAGCAGATTATGCAAATTACAAAGTGAAAATTACAGAATAGAAGCAAGAGGAGAATGAGATGGATAAATCAAGTAGGAGCCCAACAGCTCAAATACATGACGGTTCTTAAGGATTCTTCGGCTGTCTTAACCTTCCGGTCCTCACCAGCGACGGGTTTGTTGCCGGAGTAGCACTTGGAAGAAGAAGAAGACGAAGAAGAAGAAGAAGTTGAATCCTTGAGAGATTTCAAGGCAGCGGGATCGCTCTTCATAGCCTGATCTCTCGTCCTCTGAACAAACCGTGCCGCGAATTGGCCCAACACCTTGCTCATGCCACGACCAAAGATGGAAGAATCAAAGCCGATTCACTGGAAGAAATGGAACAAGTTTTGAATCAAATTTCTGGAAAATGAAGGCATGGAAAAACGAACAGATAATGATGGGCTAGCGTGGTTCGCAAGAAAAGTTGCTGTGGTCGGACGCAATTTCAGTTGATTATTTTATTTGGATAAAGATTTGAACTTTCAATTTTTTCCATGTCTGCACATACGAAATCCAGGTGCGAGAGGAGCTGTGTTGGAATGGACCAATGGGCCCAACTGGGCCTTTTCTTCGGCCCATGGAGCTCCTCATCTCTCTCACTCCTCTCAACACACATTTGGTCTTCGCCAGAAAAGTTGCTCTGTTGAGTCTCAATATCCCGATTCCCGCTATGGCTCTGCTTCACTCTTCCTCTCAATTCTCATCAACTGTTCGATGGACTCGTTCTTCTCATCGTATCTCTGCAACTCCACGCAGCCGATTCTGCAACGTAAGGTCTCTTCTCTTCTTCCTTGTGATTTTACTTCTGTCTTTTTTGGGAGAAATTCGTGTATTTGCCTGACATATATATATATATATATATATATATATATATATTGTATTTATGTCGTTAGGTCCTGTCTGCCATTGCCGATGCAGAATGGGAAGTATCGGAGAGAGCTTGAAGCAGCTGTCGATGTGGTGCAGAGAGCTTGTCGTCTATGCGTTGATGTAATTACTCTCCCTTCTCTCTTTAATTTTGTTATTGTTTTCAGTTTGGATGTTGAAATGTAATAAGTTGTAAGGAAGTGAGCTACAGATTACGAGCCGACATTTCTAAATCTTAATAACACTGCATTACGGTTGTTTGATGACCTTCTACTTTGAGAATGTTTATTGGAAGTAACCACCGGAAGGTCAATCAATCCAATTTCTCTTAGTCGTCTAGACGAATTCAAGTTTTCATTATTGGCAGGTGAAATCGTCACTTCTACGGGCTGATGGACAAGTTCTGGAAAAGAATGATCAGACTCCAGTTACTGTTGCCGATTTTGGAGTTCAGGCTCTAGTTAGTTTGGGTAATAAAAATTTAAATTCTACATAACCGCATTGGTCCATTTTCAGTATCGTACGTTTGATCATATAAATTCTAACTGTGCCTGATTCCGCGGATGATGCAATAGTTCAACCAGCCTACTCGCTGATGCAATGCTTGCTAGTTGTTGTTGTTGTTGCTGCTGCTACTGCTTTATTATTATTTATTTTGCTGCAGAGTTGGGTACTCTATTTCCATCTATTCCATTAGTAGCTGAGGAGGACTCTACATTTTTACGTGCAAATAATTTAGCACATTCGGTGCTGACAGTAGTAACTGAGAAGTCAAGTTCCCAAAATGAGTTGACTCAGGATGATGTTCTGGAAGCAATTGACAGGGGAGCGAATGTTGGATTTGCTTTCGGAAGTAAGCCAGCCACATATTGGGTGGGGATTCCTAATTTCAAATGTTGTGTTTGCTTTAGTTTCTTCGATTTTCTGATTTTTGAGTGTCGTCATTGGCAATGAAATTCCATATGCTATATTTCATCGCTGCTAATGTGATTTTAGTTTATGAAGATACCACTTCATTTGAAATGGAAGGGCTTAAAGTTTCCCCTTCTTACTGTTTCATCCATTTTTGAAGATACTTAATATGTGCTTTGCATTTTTCAGCTTTTTTCCAAGCTCTCGATTTAGAGTTGCACATTATTCAATCGAATGTTTTCCAATGCAGGTATTGGATCCAATTGATGGTACACGGGGATTTCTTAGAGGAAATGATGTCCTATATGTGGTATGTCATTTAATCAGGCTGCTGCATTGTACTTATCTTAGTTATATTCATGAAGACTAGTGCTTGAAAAATTGCAGGTAGGTTTGGCTCTTGTGGTTGAAGGAGAGATTGTATTAGGTGTTATGGGATGCCCCAACTGGCACGTAGATTTGTCTGAAGAGTCAAACTCTGAAGATCTTGAGCGTGGAGGTGTCTGGTCCAGATCAGGAGCCATAATGATTGCTCAAGTTGGACATGGATCATGGACGAGGAGGTTATCTGATATGCAAAGCCCAAGTAAAATGTTTCATAATTGGACTAGATGCTTTGTTGATGAATGCCGTCTTGTGCATGAGGCACGCTTCTGTATCCCAGACAGTCAAACGTGGGAATCGCTTCCCCCATCAACTTCATTACAGGCAACAACTAATGCTGATCACGTTGGGAATGGTCAAATTCTTCTTCTCCAAACATGTTGTGGAAGGTTATTTTCTCCCACTTAATATATGCATCTTTTCCTAACAGGATTTTTCCACTTGAAATTGTAATCATCAAAATGAGTGATTGCAGCGCATGGTTTCTTAGGTTTGTAAGTTTGATCACCAATTGCATAGGTGCGAAGATTAATGATCTGTAGGACTCAAGTATCTTATTCTTGAATGTACCCTACCCCTACACTGCACAAATTTAGTTGGACATCATCATTTTACAGCTAAAAAGATTATTTGAAGATAAACTAAATAAATTAATCGAATGCATGCCACAATTTCTGGCGTTCAGATGAAATAAATACACTCATTAATGCTTATTCATCTCATTTTCCTGCAGTTTATGCAAGTATTTCATGGTGGCTTCTGGCAGGGCATCTGTCTTCATTCTTCGAAAAAAATCTCAAACTATTATCAAGGTATTTCTCTGTTTTCTGTTCCGATGTCAAAAAATTGCAATACCACCTCAACAAAAATTAATGTTTTTATGCAGACTTGGGATCATGCAGTTGGCATGATTTGTGTGCATGAAGCCGGTGGGAAGGTATGCTACGTTACCCTTTTTTGAAAAGCCTTTCAAGCTCGATATTTCCCGGTTTATTTTACTTTCATGTTTGTTGACGTTTCTTTTAATGCTTTTACATGACGTGAAATTAGAGTCAGTGAATGAACCATCCTTTTTACAGTATTGGTTTCTTTTGAAAATGCCAGAACTATTGTTATAATGCTATAAATTAAGCTTTGGAAAATTATTACAGGATACCAAGTTACCGCCAATATTATTATCATTACCTTTTTTTTTTTGGAGAAATCTTGGAAATGTTACAAGGTACGTCCAGGATTATTTTGATAGTCGAAGACAACAACACAATCATTATGCATCAATATCGAATACGTTGTCTGACAATGATGCTCCAAGGCTTCAAGCTACCACGAAAGCATTAGATGCAACAGTGTCTTGTCCATATCCTTGCTTCTTTCCTTCTGCATATATGAGTGGTTGTACTGATATATATGATATATAAAGTTACCATGGAATTATAATGATAATCACACAAACTTTATGGGACGGCCATCAGTTTACTGCTAAGGATTTCTGAAACTTTCTACTCGTTTTTAGATTGTTTCTACTACATCTATAAAGTATTATACACGTGAAAAACTGTAAAAAAATCAGTGGAGTTGCAAAAATCTTAAAGCAGCACCGAAAGATTATAATTACAAAAGGCTTTATCTGAGGCACTAAATGGACACAAAAAAAATTATCTCAATGGACAAGTCTCCTGTTCTCCTAAGAATACTACTCTATTCCTTAGCTGCATTACCCACAAAATGGCTGTAGTAGCATTAAGCCAAATTACCCCAGATGACCACTCTGAATTGAAACGACAAAAAGTCTCAGATAAAGTACTAGATCTAGAAAATCAAAATTGTAGCATGCAAGAACTTCATGATTATGGTTCAGGGTACCACTAAATTACTCTGGGCGTTGACAATATTTGGACAAGTAATCATCATCATCATCATCAAGGTTTTGTATTTGTATGATCATGGAATGTGTCAATTACTTCTTTCTGAAACACCTGAGTGAAGTGCTAATGGAGCTATTTCTGTTTGATTAGGTGACTGACTGGAAAGGCAGTGACATTGATCTTGCTGCTGATCAAGCTGGCCGTAGGATTTTATCCCCTTCTGGTGGCGTTCTTGTCACTAATGGCCACCTACACGATCTTATAATTGAGATGACTGCGTCCACTTCATCAATTATTTGATGCTGAGACTACATACCACCTAAATTTGGTAAGGCATCCCACCTCTTCTTTGAACGCCTTTACTAAACCATCGGGATCTTCCAAACTAAGAGTACTGAAAGTCTTGGGAATAGTCAAAATTTTAGGTCCTTATAACCTTGGCCAAAATACGGTCAAATGCAAAGAAATACAGTTATACAAGTAGCTGACCAAACAATTATTATATACACATACTTTAATCAAGTTTGAGCTAGAGCAACGGATGATGGTTGACTAATTTAATATTTTACATTGCTGCAAATTTACACGTTCCCACCGGACTGTTTCATTCTGAATGTTATTTGGTTAATTTCTTACACTGTTTTACTGCTAATGTGACACGTATATTCTTGATTTCTTCTTTTCTTTTTTGGATGTGCACATTCGATCTATGTTGTTTAGGTAACCTGCTAAGCTCTATCTTCAGTCTTCATTAATCTACAAATTCTAAATTTGTTTGTTTGTTCCAACATTTATAATACGGTGCAAAACGATAGTTCTACATTCTGTATAAAAGATGGTTGTTTTCACGTCCTTCCCCTTATAGTGTATGCCCCCGTTAACATCTTCCAAATAGCCAGTGACAGAGCTGGATTGTTCCTTGCTTTACACGAGATGCAGACAATAATCTCCCAAAATATATGTGCGACCTATTTCTGTAAGAACTGCTGCAGAGAGAGACTTGTATATAAGATCCCTCTTCACTATTCCTCAAGGATGCCTTTTGGATTGTATAACCTCATTAATCCGTGGAAACAAAGTGGGAAATTCCAAATGCACACCAATGGCTATTTTTATCAACCTAGAATTGAAGTATTTGATTTTGTGGCAGCTAAATATTCAGTTGGTGGAGTTGAGCTAACAAAGCAACTTTTTATGCAGATCCGCATTTGGCGAGCAACACTGGAAAGGCCTTTGGGGGAAGGTAATTACGGTAAAGTACGAAGTTTATCTTCAATAATGTTAATGGTTGACCAATCAAACGACCACTTTTATAATTTCAATCCCTTAAGTTCAATTATTAGGTTACCACGTCCCTGGATCTTTATTGCAATTTGGTATTATATTATTGTGAACGCCGTGCACAAAATGGTCTAGGTTACAACCCCATTCAAAATGTCAACTTGGGCTATAACATAGGCTCCAGTCTAGTTATAGACTTACCACGGGAAAGTCATTTTAATCCTTTTTGGGTTCTACACCAATACACTTTCAAAGATCCTGTCCTTAAAATCCGGCCACCTGGACTTGTTTGTTCCAATGAAGACAATTCTCGTACCCCAGCTGCACAAACTGAAGATATAGGGAATTCCTCCTCTATCATAGGAGTTCAGGCTGGTACTTCTTGTTATATGGCCTTTTTCTCCCCTCCTCCCATATATAGATCAAATAACAAGGGTTTTCAAGTCATATTGGTTCCAAGCTTCCAATTAGGGGCGTAAATAAGTCTGCACCATTTTAGGAAAGGTTAAGCAAGAAAATTGACGTGACTAGTTTAGAAATTGAGTAAAAAAATAACCAAATCAGTCCATTTTTTGGTAACCTATCCAAATTATAACCTATAAGGGGTCGTTTGTTTCCAGGGTTGGGGGATGAGATTTGAGATGGGAAATGATGTGGGTTTGTAAAAATCTGAAGGAGACGAAAACACCCACCCACCCACCCACTACTCAGTGTTCATTGAAACTTGAAAGCTTGAAGTGCCGAAGAAACAAACTGTCAAACAAATGTTTTCGTTAATCTTCCAAGTGTCCAATATTTGCCCTCCCTCCGTTCAATTGTAAACACACGTAGCAATTGTTTAGATAAAGCAATCCCCAAAGCACATATTTTGGACAAGTAATAAACCTAATTGATCTTTATTAGCACCCCAAGGATCCAATTAAGAAGGTTATTTAAAAAAAAAAAAAAAACTCTCCGTATCCTTGTAGAATGGATGTAAGATTTGCTACCTCGAGAACTATGGCCGTCTGGTCATTTCCCAACATGTACCGTCGATCACATGGGTGATCAATTTTCTTTTTGTCTGGCCGCTATAAATATATAGTTTTATTAGTAGATATTAATAGCTATAGAAGTCTTTTCTTTGTATTTAGCCACGTAAAAGTTGTTGTCTGATAAAGTGTGCATTCAATATAATTTATTGAAATTGCACTATTTAAGTCTTCGCCTTAAAAGTTTGTCCGAGCTGACATGATTTTTTTTAAAGTCCAATAAATTTTATAGACCGATTTGTTGAAACTTTTTTGTTGGTAACTTTTGAAGCAACATTTCTAAATTAGGGCCCTTGACTTTGTATAGATACGATTAGATGTAAGAAATCCAACCAAACTAATTTGATATATGCATGGGGAATATAGTTATTTATTTATTATTATTATTTTTTTTTATGGGATCATTTGCTACTTTTTGAATGGTTGGTTTAGAGTATTTAGTGAGTTTTGTCTAAACAAAAGATACTTCTTAAAGATTTTATTTTATTTTATTTTTATTAGGTTTTTGTTGTTTGATTTCATTTTTTTTTTAATGAATTTAATTATTAGTTTGTTTGGAAATTTATTTGCAAAATTTAAGAAATTTTAATGTAGACAATTTCTTTGAAGTTATCTTGTTATGGTAAGAACCAACTAGAAACAACCCATATATATCCTCATTTTTTTACATAGATATTCTCCTTTTCCCTTCCCATTGTCTTATACCAATTTTTTAAGCAACCAAACATTACCCATAAACTCAATTCAAACCATATAATCCCACAAAATCCTACGCAAAGTCCCAAAATCAAATCTCCCCTCCAAAACTTAGAAAAATGATGATGGTCAAATACAAAAAGATTGAAGCAAAATATTTAACTATTTTCAACCATAATCAATAATAAGGGTATTTTTTAAATTTTTTTTAAGGCAAATTTAAAGCTTATTTTCTATAATTGTTTGATTTGTTTCTAGAAAACCAATGAGAGGTTGTTTATCTATTATTATTATTATTTTGTAAATGACAACCCCCGTGTTGAAAAGACTGGAATTCATTGAGGTATGTGGTTGGAATTCTGCATTCACAGGTTAGTAATTTGTCTTATCCTATGAGCAAGGTTGGAGTTCTGCATTCACAGGTTAGTAATTTGTCTTATCTATGAAACAATTATTCATGGCATTTTGAGCACCATAGAGGGAACAAAAGTATCTTAATGAGTCACTGTGAATTCATTGGGTTCAAATTAAATGTTTTCGTTGTTTTCTTATTCTCCTTTCATTTTCTCTAACAAATTTTTTTGAAAACAATAATTTTTAAATTTGAATTCTTCTATTTTCTAATGTCTTGATTGAAAAGAAAAGAAAACCCTCCGGAAGAAATGTTTCTGGGTCAATAAAATATTATTTGACCGTAGTGATCTCAGATTAAGATGGGTTTAGAAACTTGTGGACGTGATTTTCAACTCCAGGGTGTATATAGTCCTCACATACATTCACTTTTTCCATGCTAGAAGTGACCATTTAGGCATTAAAAAAATCCATTAGTTTAGAATTAGAAGTAGAACTGGTGGGCAGCTGGCTTCAACCATTAAATCTTATATATCATATTATCCAACTGAAACGTGTCATAGCCTGGTTAAAATGTATATATGAAGTCCATTTGACTTTCATAAACCTAATTCTCAAAATAAGAATTAAATAAGTTTCCATACTTTATTAGGCATTTGATTGCTTTAATAATTTAAAAAAACTCAACTAGTAATAAAATTTTAGGAGTGAAAATGATGAGGGTTAACTAGCTAATTGTGTTTATAAGAAGATGAAGTTCAAGTAATCAGAATTCAGTTGCTAATTATCTTGTGTTAGCATTATCACAAGAAAGTCTCTTGTTAGGGTTTCTGTTCTTTTATGTATTGCTATGGTTAGGTTTTGAGTTATTCATATTTTGAGGGTGTCTTTAATTTTCAGTTAGACTATACACAATATGTCTCTAATGTTTGTGGTAGGTTTCAGTTCTGCTTGCTTCTAGAATATGAAATAAATGTTTCATTTTGGCTAGCTCTAATAAATACAAATTATTTATGACATTTTTATAAATATTTCTAAACTGCTGTTATTCATGGAAGTCTTTGTACAATGCGGTGGTGTTTAGGTTTCAACTTTCCTTTTAGGGCACTTTTTGTTCCGGATGGTAACATATTTTTTACTCGTATGGTCATTTTGAAATATACATGAAAGGTTAGAGGTAATATTGTCACTTTTTAGAAAATAGAGGTATTTTTTTAATGAATGACCGTTAATCAATGTAATTGAGCCTTTCATTTTTTCTTAATTTTTTAAATTTATTCCAAGAATACTTGTTTGAGAGTTTTTTTTTCCTCACAAGATGAAAATTAACGGGTAAATTGATTTGAAGTTCAAAAGATTTTTTTTTTTTTTTTTTTTTAACAAATTTCAAATCTAAAATTAAAAATTTTCAAAATATATGAAACATACCCTAAATTTGATGTGTATTTTATATAATTTCATTGCCACGAAAAGATCTTCAAGCTTTATAAATTGTAATATGTAAGGTTTAAACTTTTTCCCAAAAAAGTTTTACTAAAGAGGAATTTGAAAAACTAATTTAATTTCTCTCTTAAACTATGTATGAATTAATAATACCCTTTGGTATTTCATTCTTATATGAATACAACATTCATAAAACAGTATAATAGGCAAAAAGAAAAAAAAAAAAAAAAAAAAAAAGAAGAAGAGAGCACAAAGCTTCAGATTTTAAGAAATAAATATTAAAAAAAAATGCAGTTTGAAAAACTTTAGGATATAGATTTTATAACAAATGCAAAATCCGAGCTTCGTTTCATTTGGATACTGGGCCGACAAGCGGCCGCGGACAACATGACGTGGCAGCTCGCATAATGGACTGATGAGGTCATTCAATCTGTAAGTTGAACGGCTGTAATGAAGACACGCATAAGATCCAGAATGGAAGATCTAGAAAATCAAACCATTGATCCAACAACTGCAGGTCATGATGTAATAATAATTGGGCATTGAAGGCAACATGAAGTTCCGTACACATAATCATGCAAAATCCCTCTTTCTTGGACAAAATTGCCCCCCTCACAAAAGATTTTCACAAAACGGCCTTTTAGTTTTAGCTTTATTTCCAATGCCAGTGATGGAAAGAAAAAGAAAAAAAATTGTTTCACAAATTTAAATTAAATTTCTTTTTCCTTTTTAATTTTTCTTTTTCTTTAGGTATATATTGACTGACAAACGGTCGTAAATGGACAAAGAGATGGTGCATGTTAGGGAGCAAACAAAGTTGTAAATTAAAAATAAAAGAGCAATAAATAGCGTGCGGAGGTTGATAAGCTTATCGTGTAACAAATTGGTTGGTTTAATCCAACGCTCATTTCTATCACTATCCCATCCAAAAATAATTTAATAAATATATTATTAAAATTCTTGTCTTGGATATTACAAACCCGAAATCTTCTGTTCGAGCTCGAAACAGTAAAACGTTGACCAATTGGATGAGCCAATGAGAGGAAGCCACGCGGCATGCAGGTAAGCGGAGAAGAAAAAAACGCCATGGGAGGGTAGCGCAATAGGATCTGTGAACAACACGAGCCACGTGGCTTCACCTAGTCAATGCCAGGTATGCATATATAATGTGAAGACAAGAAAGCGATGGATAAAAACACATAATTATGATGATTAACTCTTAATTAAATTTGGGATTAGTGTGGTAATTATAGTCTGTTTAAGTAAGAGAAAGAGGACACGTCATCGTGAACTGTGGACGGCACCGAACCCTTTTGACTTCATCTCTCTGTCTCTATTTATAGAGCTTAATTCATCCATTTTTCACTCTGTGAATCTCATTTTAAGCATTAAATTCGTACTCAATGGGAAGAACACCATGCTGTGAGAAAGAAGGCTTGAAGAAAGGGCCATGGACTCCTGAAGAAGATCAGAAGCTCATCGATTATATTCAAAAACATGGCTATGGAAACTGGAGAACCCTCCCCAAAAATGCAGGTTTTTTTGTGCTTCTCTACTCTATTTTACCTCATTTCTCAATTGGGTTTGCTTCAAATTCGATAAAGTTTCAAACTTTGTGAACTTTGTGGTCGTTTTAGGTCTCCAACGATGTGGGAAGAGCTGTCGTCTACGGTGGACCAACTATCTTAGACCTGATATTAAGAGAGGACGATTTTCATTTGAGGAAGAAGAAGCGATTATTCAGCTTCATAGCATTTTGGGTAACAAGTAAGTTTCATTATTTTTCGTAATCTCTACTTGTTTTAGTGATTTTTTTTTTTTTTAACGAAATTTGGGTTATTTTTATGTTTTTTAAGGTGGTCTGCGATTGCTGCTCGGTTGCCGGGGAGAACAGATAACGAAATAAAGAATTATTGGAATACCCACATAAGAAAAAAGCTTCTGAGAATGGGAATCGATCCAGTAACTCATAACCCGAGGCTTGATGTTTTGGATTTATCGTCGATTTTGGGGTCATCTTTTTACAATAATCCCAATTCTCAAATCAACAGTTTCTCAAGGTTGATTGGAATTCACAATAGATTGGCCAATTCTTTCATGTCGTCAAACAATATTTCTCATTTTTCGATGCAAAACGTTGAAAATCATGAACAGTCCAACATGATCATATCTCAGTCACAGTTACTTCCTCCCCAACAACCCCACTACCAAATTGACCAATCGCCAGCTCTTCCGCCGCTGCATGAAGCCTCCGCCGGATGCAGCCCATCCACCACCACCTCTTGCGGCGGAGAAGCCTATTATTCCTTATTCCCACCATCAAATTTCTCTGACTTCTACTCCCAAAATTGCCAACAACAAACTGAAGAATTGAACGGTTTTGATTACTCGGAGTGTGCTCAGCTTCCAAATTACGATTTTTATAAACA